CTCTGCATATTAGAAGCTTCCAAGGAAATCTTTTTAAAAAAAAAATGGATGCTGGGGCACCTGGGTGGCTCAGTGGGTTAAAGCCTCTGCCTTCGGCTCAGGTCATGATCCCAGGGTCCTGGGATCGAGCGCCACATTGGGCTCTCTGTTCAGCAGGGAGCCTGCTTCCTCCTCTCTCTGCCTGCTTCTCTGCCTACTTGTGATCTCTGTCTGTCAAATGAATAAATAAAATATTAAAAAAAAATGGATGCTGGCCTCACAAAAGGATTAAAATTTATATTTAAAGAATCCAACGTGGGGCCTGGTATTTTTTTAAAAAGCCTCCCGAGTGATTCCAATAATGGCCACAGTTGAGGCACCCTGCTTAGTGACTGTGATGTGCATCCAGGCTTGAGAAACATGTCTTCATGCAGTTGTTTGCAACTGTAATTTTATTGCCTCTGTAATTTACATCAAGTAAGAATAATTTAGGATCTTAAAAGCATATTGCATTTCCTGAATTCCTCGTTTTTATGGGGTAATCAAGCTCTCAGCTTGCACATCTTGGAAGATTTAATTGAGAAAAATTACACCAAATAACAATTAGTCCTCTAGTTTTCTGAGCTACTCAGATATTTGATTCAGGTTTGCTAATTACTCTTTCCTCTTATGAACATTAGCTGAAAAATATCACCTGCCTAAGAGGTAACATGCTTTATACCTACAACCCCTACACACTGCACAAAGCAGAGGAGAAAAGAAGCAAGCAGAAAATGGACTTTTGTCAAAGGCCCAGAGTGTAAAGAGGGGAGTTCTGCTGTCTGCTATGGGGAGTTCCAGAGGAAGTTACATTTTCTCTCTCTCATGAGAAGAAAGCCTAAGTGCGGTAGATAAATTTGCTAAATAAATTCAATAGAGGCAACACCCAAGGTCCTCTTACACTTATATATCAGACTTAGCAACTGAATTTACTTGCAAATCCCATTTATCTTCCCTGCTTCCTGCTGTATCATGTGTTAAAAAAAAAAAAAAAGTGAATTCCTGAACCTGGCACACAGAAGATGGTTGCTTATGTATTAGATGAATGAGTAAGTAAATATTCCTCTTCGGGCTAGAGTGGATTTGGTAGCAGGTAGCTCTGTTTTGGTTAAAAGAGGACTTAATAACTCAATGTTTGGAGGTGACCCCCATCAGAAAGGGATCTACCCTTAAGAGGTCCTTTTAGAGAGACCCAGAGTGAGAGTTATTACGAGTGGATTTCATGAATGGAATCATGCAGGAAATTCCGAAGCACGACTCTCTATTCACATGTGTCATTTCACAGTCTTCTCAACCTGTCCAGGCAAATGCGGGCGTGATCAGTAGTGTTTGACCGAGAAGCACTCATGTTCTAGACCTGCCCCAGCCCCAGCCTGCTGGCAGATGTGAATTCTTTCCTGTACTGCAAATCTGTCAGAAAGGCATGTTAATGTTTTAGTCGTGGTGAAAACAGGACTTGCAGGCAAAATGTAAACTCACCCACTTGTTCTTGAGAAAGCTCAAGTTTGGGCGTAACTACCAAGTGTGCTGTGTGATGCTTAAGAATGCCAGCCAGCTTGTGCCACATGGGCAAGTTGCAGTTTGATGAGAGGAAGACAGAAGTGAGTATGGTCAGGCTCATCCTCTCTTACTTCTCCCTCTTGCTGCCATTTGCCAAACCCTTAAGTGGAAGGTACTGTGTGCTAGGCGCTGAAGATACCAAAACAAACTCAGCCTGGTCACTACCTTCAAAGTCTTGCAGGATTGTAGGAGGAGAGACTCATGTCAGAAGAGAATTGCAATGTGAACCATTTAAGCAACAGGAAACCCAGAATTTACTAGTACTTTAAAATCTATTGCCCAGGAGGTTCCTGGGTGGCTTAGTCAGTTAAGCGTCTGCCTTTGGCTCAGGTCGTTATCCCAGGGTCCTGGGATGGAGCCCTGCAATGTGACGTCTCCCTCTCCTTCTGCCCCTCCCCCTCAAACTGTGCTCTTTCAAATAAATAAATAAAATCTTTCAAGAAAAAATCAATTGCCCAGGATGGTCAGGGAATGGGCTGTCCTGGTTAATAAAATATCACAGTTAATAAAGAATGGCCCTCGGGGTGCCTGGGTAACTCAGGGGGTTAATCCTCTGCCTTCAGCTCAAGTCCTGATCTCAGGGTCTTGGGATCGAGGCCCACATCAGACTCTCTGCTCAGCAGGGAGCCTGCTTCCCCCTCTCTCTGCCTGCCTCTCTGCCTACTTGTGATCTGTCTCTGTCAAATAAATAAATTCCTTAAGAAAAAAAAAAAAAAGAATGGCCCTTGTTAGGTCCATTATTAAACGAAACGAGACTGAGACAAAGTGAAAGTTATTTAAAGCTTTATTTTATGATAAGTGTTAGAAGTCAGACTGATTGGTCAGAGGAACGGGACTGAGACAAGGTGAAAGTTATGCAAAGCTCTATTCTATGCCAAGCATTAGAAGTCAGACTGACTGGCCAGGGCCGTCTCTGAAGAGAGCCACCACCCCCAGCTCACAGGCTCAAGAATTGACTGACTGACCGGTCAGGGCCACCTCCAAAGAGGGCGACCCCTCCCCATCTTACAGACTACCTTTTATAGAGCAAAAGTCTGGCCACACATAGGTGGCCAATGAGATTGTAGTCATGTTAGGTCACACGCAGGTGGCCAATTGAATTACAATTTACCCTATAGTAGCTGTTTGACTCAACCTATTACTCTGGTCAGAATTAGTGCTCAAGGTCGGCGCCCAAACTGTGAGGTTTACATTCTTTGGTGGTTAGGGGAAAAGTATGTGTGTTTCTTACTGATTGGATGTCTCCACCTGGCTGGACTCGTCCTTGTATTCTGGGCTCTGTTATCAAGAACTGGCCGACCTGGCCTTGTATTCTGGGCTCTGTTATTAGGAGCTAGCTGACCATATTTTACTGGTTCCCCAGACTTGCTTCTAAGTAAGTTCCTCTCGGGGGAGGGGTCAGGGTCAGTTTAAGTTTTACTGCACAAACAACAAAATGGCTTTTAGCCAAGTCTCCCTGGCTAAATAGGTCCTTACAGCCCTATGTTGCATATACAGATTACCACTTTCCTAAGAATTTTAACAGGGTACAAAAGACAGGAACCAGTGTTTGCTGACTGCCTATCCCCTGCCCAAATAAGGCACTGCATATGTGCCATTTTGTCTAACATTCACCACAGTACTTAGATGCAGATATTAATCTCGCACATTTATAAAGAGGCAGAGACTCACAGAGCTAAATGACATATTCAAGATCAAAGAGCTCATAATCTCACCCCAGTCGCTCTGTCACTAGACCCCAGGCTCTTACTGTACCACTTTTTGTAATAGTAAAATCTCCTTGAATAGCATATGCTTAGAAGCCACAAATATTTGTTGAATGGATGTCTTGACTAATTACATGAATGAATGAAGCAAGCTGTCCTAAATATAATTTGATCTAGTCTTTTGTCATCGTTCAGAAATTACTTTAAGATCTTGCCACACCTCTGTATAATGAATATCCATTCACTAATGATGGAGGTGACATAACCTTGTGCAGTTTCCCACAGTGTCTTCATGCATACACTACCTTCATTAGTTTTACTTTGCTTTACCACTCTTCATGCCGTTGTTTTTATAGAATTCCTTAAAATCAACTCAGCTTTTATTCTTTGAGAACAATGGAAAACAAGGATCACTGTTACTGGTAAACAGAGGATATAAGCAAAAATAAATGTGATGAAAGCAGTGTTACTAAATTCTACCCCGATACCTACAGCATCTGCCTGGGAACTTTCTCTTTTATTAAAAGGAGAAATAGCCATTATTGGAGGTGTGAGAATCTAGTTGCAAATTATATGTTACTTGAAGGGTTGAAACAGGATTAAAGAGGAAATAAATTCCTCTCTGAATAATTCAGTTCCCTTTAGCCCTTAATTCTACCTTAAATAAAATTATTTTGCATGCTTCGTATTTGCCTCATATTTTGGGAAATACTGTTGCAGTAACTATAGAATTTTAGCGAAACATCTAACTGGCTCCAAATTTTAACTTCACTAACTGTATGTCCTGGCGTGAACCTCTTTGAGCCAGTTTCCTCAACTGTAAAACAGTAATAATAATACATATTTCATGGTTGTATTTTCGGGATTAAATGATGTAGTTATAGAGGCCTAGCATGGTGCCTGGTGCATAGTAGGTATACACTAAATATTAGTTCTATTCTTCCTTTCTCCTTACTGACAAAAAAGAAGAACTTTGTCCAGTGGGCTGATGTGACACGGTGGTTAAGGGCACACCTGGGTCTAGATCCAGGCTACTTTCCTGTGCCTCAGTTTCATTTTCTTTTTTTTTTTAAGGTTTTTATTTATTTATTTGACAGACAGATCACAAGTAGACAGAGAGGCAGGCAGAGAGAGACAGAGAGGAGGAAGTAGGCTCCCCGCTGAGCAGAGAGCCCAATGCAGGGCTCTATCCCAGGACCTTGAGATCATGATCTGGGCTGAAGGCAGAGGCTTTAACCCACTGAGCCACCCAGGTGCCCCTCAGTTTCATTTTCTAACAAGAGGATGGCTCTACCTTGCTGGCTTTCTGGGGAAACTCAATGAGATTGTGTGTTGGCAGAGGACTAACCCCTAGTAAGAACTCAACAGATGATAATTATTATTACTCCCAGTCACGAGAGGAGGTCGTCTTTGGCAGGGTTGATATAATCTGATCCATACAGAGAAAATGAGCCTGGGTGAGAGGCGAGAAGACAATAATCAGCCACACAGGTGGGGCGTGTTGAGAGGAGCGAAGTAGCTCAAAACAGTGGATCAAGAGTTCCACTCTTGCCCAGACAGGACAGGGCACAGGAGAGAAAGGAGCCTGAAGGACAGCCCAGTTCGTGACAGGTGTCTCCCGGACCACGGGGGTGGGATGGGCCTCCTCAACTCCCACTCTGTACAGAACTGAGATGTGAAGGCAAACAATGGGAGAACGCCTTGTTTTTTGTTCAGCTTTATTTACAGTGACGGCCCCTAAGGAACTGTACACAGTAGACTATGGGAGCAATGTGACCCTGGAGTGTCACTTTGACACTGGAGGTCATGTGGAACTCAAAAACTTAAAGGCCAGTTTGCAGAAGATGGAAAACTATACATCCTTGCAGAGTGAAAGAGCCAGCTTGCTGGAAGAGCAGCTGCCCCTGGGGAAGGCCTCATTCCACATCCCTCGAGTGCAGCTGACGGACGCGGGCCAGTACCGCTGCCTCATCATCTACGGCCTTGCCTGGGACTACAAGTACCTGACTCTGAAAGTCAAAGGTGAGTAGTTTCCAGGGCGGGAATCTGTGGAGGCATCTGCACAAGCAAAAACCAGGAGGATGGTTGCACAGAGACGGGGCTATCAGAGAAAACAGAAGCACCTGCCCAGAAATATTTTCCTAACATCTGAGTATAAGGTAGCTGAGGTGAGGGTACGTCAGGGTAGGAGCTGCAGGAGTGATGTGGGTCTAGAGGGAAGGCAGGAAAGGGGTCCCTGAAAGCCGGGAGGGTGCCAAAGATAAGCTTTGCCTGCTCACAGTTCCCCCAAGGAACAACACTGGCTTGATCATTAAGCTCCTCTTTAAGAGAAACTTACTCCTCTAGTCCAGAGTTTTTCAAACCATGGTTTGCTGGCCATTCATGGAATAAAGCATGGGTTTAGTGAGTAGCAACCAGGTGGGTGTCTTTCTCCAAATAAAATGAATAGATCAGAAGGCATCACATAATAGGGCTGAACGTCGTTTCGTGGAACTCTTGTTTCAGAGATGGGGTGTGTGTGTGCGTGTGTGTTGGATTATGATGTAAAATATTTTTTCTCACTGTGGGACGCGGTCCCAAAAGTTTGGAGAACACTGCTCTAGTCCAAGCTTCACGTATTGCAAATGAAGCGGCCAAAGTCCAAGAAGCGAAGGGTGCTGGGCTTGGGGAACCCAGTCAGGTCCAATGCCGTCCCAGTTCCTCTAGACTGAGGGCTCTCCTCACCACAACACAAGCCAAGAACCTAAGTCTGAAGAAATCTTCAAGTTCGTGTTTACTTTGGAAAAGGCCATTTTGGGAAAGCCTTCTAACAAATACAAAAGAACAGACTTGGTTCTGTTCCTAGCTTGTGTCTTTCAGCCCACACTGACTTATCTGGGTTTTCTCTGTCCCCTCCCAGTCCCACCCAGTAAGCCTCAGAGGATCTGTACCGTCTTCTGGAAAGTCCATAGACTTCGGACCCTAAAGACCATGGACCTTGGTAGCAATGTTGTGACCTCATGATCTGGTACAAGGAAGGATAAACTGGGAGGATTAGACATGAGGGTAAATGTTTTCACCTGTGATCTTGGGCAGGTTATTTCACCTTTACAATCACAGATTTTTCTTATTTGTAAAAGGATACCATAGTAGTACCTCCCACAGAGGATTACTGTACAAATTTAAAAAGATACTGAACCTAAAGAAGTGAGCATGGTTCTTGACATGTGTTGAGTGTCTGGAGAGCTGGTCCAAAGACCTCCTCTCCCTTCAGCTCTCAGTAAGTCATGAGGAGAGTCATTAGCCTGGATGTAACTGCCTTCTCTCTTAATTGCATTTCCTGTACCCACAACCGGGATGAACTCCAGAACTTTGAAGTTTGTCTGATTTCAATTAATGGGAGGAAAGCAGTCTCTACATTCTCACGATCCTGTAATGAATTCAGTGTCTGCACTGCTAGTGTACTGCCTCCGTGTTTGTTAACCTCTGCTTGAATGCTATAATGCATTGTAGGGTCTCTGGGCAACCTGGGGCCAGTCCTTCAACTCCTCTCCAGCTGAGGGCTGCCCCTCCTTCCTGGGATGCCACGCTGCCAGCTTCATCACCTAGAGCAGAGATGGCTCAGTTGCAGACCAGTGTATTCCTTAAATCTTAATTATTTATTGTTTAAATCCTTGCTGCTCTTCAAACGATGGTATATGGGGATCACAAGATTTTCTGAGGGTTTGCAGGGGCCCGGGCAATTTTAGGAAATGAGTTTCTAATTCTTCCTCTTCCCTACGTATTCTTTCCCCAAACTGAGTGTGCCTGAGAATTAGGCTTCCAGGCAAGTCTCTTGGGGTTCCCCTAAAACACTTCCTCTTTTATCATTGGCTTCTTCCATTTCATAAGAAGTGTACTTCTCACCAATGTGGTGTGTTGCCTCGGGGTGTAGAAAAACTCTACCTTGCTAAACAAAAGACTAATCAGAAATATTGATACCTTACCAAACTAATGACTAACAAATCCTTCTGCAGAACAGGTGATGCCAAATTCTGTTTTCAGCAAAGCTGGAGGAGGCCCTAATATAGTTAAGGGCTGATGCTAAAAAATGAAGTAGGGGTTGTTGTTTTTTGTTTTTGTTTTTGTTTTTGCCGTATAAATCATAAGGCTTTTGAGCATGAAATGACATCTCTATAACAAAACTCCTCCCACAACCACTTACTTGTTCGTATGAGCAAGTTTCCTTAGCCTTTCTTGTCATAAAAATGGAAAAATTGAAATAGAGCTGAGGCTAGTCTTGCCTCATTCCAACAACCATATGCATCCTTGGATACATGAACAAATTGAAAAAGAGAGCCCCACCCGTCCCCTTAAGGGATACATTTCCAGAAAACCTTTATCTTTTTTTTTCAGTGTTCCAAGATTCATTGTTTATGCATCACACCCATGGAGGACATTAGGAGAAGGAAAACGCTTATCTTTTAATCACATTATCAATATTCATAATATTTTACTTTTTGATTTTAGGTGTTCTGATAATAGAAATTAGATTTCAGTGCAGAAGGAAACTGAACACTTGAAGCCTTGTGATCACAAGCAAAAAATTAATCTCAATAGCTATACCTATTTCGTTGTTGCACAGAAATATAAGGATCCCCAATACAACATGTTGAGATTGGATAGAACCCTATAGAAAAAGTGGAATGGGAGCTGAAGGTCATGGAATGAAACAGTGTGAAAAAGAGATAGTTTAAAGCTCTGACCATTACAGGAGAATTTTTAAAAAGATTTTATTTATTTATTTGAGAGAGGGAGAAAACACGCAGGGAGAGAGAGAGGGAGAAGCAGACTCCCTGCTGAGGAGGGAGCCTAATTTGGGACTCAATCCCAGGACCCTGAGATCATGACCTGAGCTGAAGCTGATGCTTAGCCGATTGAGCCTCCCAGGTGCCCCTACAGGAGAAATTTTTTTCTTTTTTTTTTTTTTAATTTATTTGACAGAGATCACAAGTAGGCAGAGAGACAGGCAGAGAGAGAGGAGGAAGCAGGCTCCCCGCTGAGCAGAGAGCCTGATGTGGGGCTCGATTCCAGGACGCTGGGATTGCGACCGGAGCTGAAGGCAGAGGCCCCAGCCCACTGAGCCACCCAGGTGCCTACAGGAGAATTTGTATATGTATTTTTCCAAGGATGGGGGCGGTGTATAAAAGATACCTCCTTTGATATCTAGACAGCATTAGGTACATATGTAAGAGGGAAATCATTGTTTTACTTAAAATATATAATGTTTATAAAATGATAAACATTATATATTTTTCCAGTACACACACTTAGAAAAGATTTTAAGAACCTACCTAATAAATGTGTGAGATGGTGCATACTGTGTCACAGCCTTTAAGAGGAATGCAAGCAAAAACAGGAAAAGTTGAAGACCATCACCTGAGAGTATCCTATCCTGATCAGGGGAGACCCGGTGCCTCAGTTAGGATCTGCTTCAATAAAACAGGACAGGAAGAAGTATGTGCTTTTTCCTTAAAATGCCTGATCTATGGCATCAACTTGAAAACAGGTTTATAGCACCTACTTTGATATCTGGGCAGTAGTTGATATTAAATATAGTGAAAAGAGAACTACTTTTTTAAAAGCACAGGAAAAACAGTACTAGGTAGAAGGGCTAGAGAGTCTAAAAGACACAGGATCACAGGGTTCTGACAGGCAGCTGTAACGAGGAACCTGTCTGAAAGAGGGTAGGGAGTGAGGCTGAAGAGAAGAGGCCAGAGAGCCCAGGGACTGAGCCCGCAGGCTGAGAACTGGCCTGAGCCAAGGATCCCAGACAGACACAGAAGTCCTGGGAACAGAAGGGCCAAACCGGCCCCCAAAGCCCTAGTAGGAAATGAGGAGGGGGATGGGAGAGCGCCAACCCCCAGAGTGGACTGAGGCTCACAGAAGTCTTTCAAACCCACAAAAAGGCCCAGGCTAGATGGGAGTTTGACTTGAGCGAGCAGAGGAAGGAGGCAACAAGGCTTCCATTTTCTCTCACCATGGCCTCTACCCGGAGGAGGGGATGACAAAGGACCTGGAGAGGAAACAGCCCAAGGGAAGCAGGGCAGCCTTGAAAGGATAAGGGACAGTTGGCCTCTGGACCTAGAGAAAGCATTGGCTTAAAGCACTTAGTGATGGGGCTAAGTCTCTCCCTTTCCTCCTTTGGGGAAACAGAAGGGTAATAAGGAAAGCTGGAGTTTGGGACAATTACGTTCTGAATTCCGCAGTGGGCAAAAGCTCCTGGGGAGTACAAGCTGTGTAACCCGAGGTTCCTTCCGAGGTCATCTGACCGAGGAATTGGGAGCAAGCCTAAAAGATTTCCCTCAGCGATTCCTAGAAACCTGCCTACATTCTGTAAGACCAAGGCGTATGAAACTACGTTTTTTCACCTTCATTACAATCTTACAATGATAGAGCAGATAATACCACCTGCTGCTTATCTTTATTCCAGAGATGCCAGAGTGGCCAGTCGCGTAGGGATCCTTCAGTCAAAGACGACCAGGGAGACAGAAACCATTCAAACCGGCAGAAATTTAAATTTGAAAACAGAAATTCTTTTACTAGAACAGAGTAACTAATCAGGGGGAACAGGGAGGCAAATCAGCAATTAGCAATAAGGAGAAGCTGCTGCCTGCACTGGACTGGAGGGGGAGGGAGAGGAAGAGGGCAGGGCTGATGGAGCTCAGCGGCCAGAGTCACGGAGCAGATACTAGAACCACAGCAGGCCCATCCAGCGGCAGCAGGAGGAAGGAAGCTGTGGGGGCTGCTGGAGAGGCTCGTGGAGCATAGGGCATTGGGGGGAAACACCGTAACTTCTCCCTCCTGTTTGCCCTCCAGACTTGCCCTCCACTGTGCCTCCTGTGGGCTGTCAGGAGCCTGGGAGACACGGCCTGCAGGAGTCGGCCTTCACACAGTGCAGAGCAGAGCAGAACACTTGCGGGATGGATCTGAGGGCAGACAGGCCCAGGATCCACACAGCACACATCTTGTGCGTAAACTGGTAAAATGTGAGATGAATGGTGGTGTAGTTGACCAGAACTGTAACACACTCAATAGCTGCTAGGTGTTGACTCAAGGCTGACAAAGGGTGATGGATGCTTTTGAGTCAACCAGGAGACAGTCTGCAGGTGCCCACAGAGTTGTTATAGCCAACAAAGCTGCACCTGGATCATTCATTTAATAACATTTATGACTTTAGGCTGCATGAAAACCCTATGTGGGCCTAAAATGTGCTCAACAAGTGGAAGTAATTAGTCATCCTGCACTTCATACTGCTTAGGTAAAATCTGGAATACAGATCATGTTACATTGGCAAACAAAGTGAATCCAAAGACTGGTATGTGGAACTGGGTCTAAAAACTGTCCTGTGAGATATGGTTGAAGAAAATAGGCATGTTTTACCCAGAAGGGAAAGACTATATGGAATCTTGCCACTTACCTTCAAATACCCAAAGGATCATATGCTAATATTAATTGAATTTTTACTATGCTCTAGGCACCTAGCTCTTTCAATCACCCTAACACCTCTGTTAAGGATAGGTATTATGATACCTGGTTATAAAAGGAGAAACTTGAGGGCTTTAAATGTCATGTAACCAGCCCTTGGCTCAAGCCTAATCTAACCACATTCTTAACTACTATGTAGCTCATACATTGACTTAGTAAACCAGACAGTTATCAAGGAGTTGAAGCTGCCAAGAGGCAAAGTTTGACTTGGGAGAAGAATGATCTTTCCAGTGAAAGTTTAGCTTTCTTAATGTCTAATCATGGTAATGGCCGCTCCTAGCAGGAGGAGTTTCCATTTATAGATGTATTTAGCCAAAAGTTAGTTATCTAGCAGCTTACCGATATCAGAAAAGATAATCTTTAAAAAAAAAAAAAAGGAAGAAAAAAGAAAAGGTAATCTTTATTTTATTTATTGTTTTTTATTTATTTATTTATTTCTTTTATCTTTATTAAAGATAAAAAGGGACATTTCATCATGATAAAGAAGTCAATATGAGAGGGAGACCTAACAGTCCTCAATGTGTCCATGTCTAACAACAACTTCAGAACATACAACACACACACAAAAAAAAAACACAAAAAAATTCTCTAAAAGCAGAAATAGATCCACAATCTTTTGGAGATTTCAACTCTATTACAACAGGTAAAGTAAACAAAAAAGAAAATAGAAGAATTGTGTAAACAGCGCCATCTTGGCCTATTGAAGCGTGTGAAACTTATACCCAACAACAGCCGAGTAGGAAGTTGGACTCATTTGAATTGGAAGATCACTTTTAGCTCTGAAATTCTAAAATTTACTCATCTTTTCCTAAGAATAGCCCCCTTGGTGCAGCTTCCCCATTGTGTGTGGCTGATAATGATGCCTTTCCCCCCACTTCCCGAATTGCACAAGGCTGTGGAGACATCTTTAATATTGTATACATGCAGGTTGTAAGCGCCCATCCCTTTTCCCAACCTTGCTGGTTCTTCTAGTTGAACATCTCTCTCATCTTCTCCCTCATTTGTATATCTCAGGTTACAGACTCAGCCTCCCTTCTGATTCTTGACCCTCCTACCGATGAAATCACCTCTCAACATGGCCCCCAAGAGCAGCTTCTTATTCTGAGCTCCCCTGCAGGAATGGGCCAGACCTTCATATGCAACACATTGCATCCATTTGTTCTCCCTCCCTCCCTCCCCCAAAGACCCCAGCGCTTACAGAAATAATCTGCACTGTAATAGGATAAATGATCATAAGAGGACATCAAACCAAGGGGAAATAGTATAGAAAAATAAAATGAAAGATAAGTGAGTCCTCAAAATGCATGCTTCAGATACTGTTAAATTGCCAGAGGTAGATCAAAATTGGCCTAAAGGAGACTGGTAAGTCTATCAGTTCAAGTCCTCACTAGGCTGCTTCAAAACCTGATTCTCCTCATGTTCTACTAGTCCTGTGTACCCCTAAGTTCCCGCCCTTCCTGTGTCTGTTGCTCCATCCCCAAACATTTTGCTATTACATAGACAATCATCCTCTTATGAAGATTCCTCTTATGATGATTCAGAATAATGTAGCCATGAAGGGCATGAGTTCAAGTCCCCCACCCCACCCCAGATTCCAGCTGTTTCCCTGTTTATAAAATAGGAAAACGAATTTTCCCTAACTCCTAGGGTCCTTACAGAGTTTAAATGAGGTAATGTATGTTAAAGAGATAGAATCAGATTTTAGAGCCACTCACCTCTGTTCCTCTCTAATCTATACGTACAAGAATCAATAACCAAATGGGAAATGAACTCCATTTTTTAAATTCATAACCAGATGAGCACATGATTTTCTCCTTTCCCTTCTCCCAGCTTCAGGGCTTCTCTGGTGGTCTACACTGGAGAACATGACTTGGGGCCTCTTTTTTCTTGTACCCTCATCTTAGCTTGGAGTTCAGGTTTGCAGAAGACCCTGAAGTTACTCATCTATCCAGCGTCATGGGTAAGAAACTTCACCTCACCCATCCAGTTATAGCAGAAGGTGGGAAACCATGAACAGGGAAGATATCAGATTTTTTTGAGCTAGGCCAGCCAATGGGCCCAGCTGAGTATGCTTTCCTACATGGAGGCAAGAACTTAAGAGAGGGCTGTGGGTTGTGAACCGTGCTTCAAGACTCAGTCACCCAGTCCAGTGAACTGTGACCCACTGAGCATCTTTGACCATAACTAATCAAATTAGCAACTCTTAACACAGGGACACAAAGGGGCAAAAATTGTGAAGAGGGGCCTGAACATTCCTTTCCCCTCCGCAGGATGTAAAATCACAGGGCACGAAGCTGACCACCTAGAAAACCCTTAGTACTTCACTGTTATCGTGATTTTAAGTTAAAATCGCTTTTCACAAAGGGTGTGCTCATTTCTACTCCTCCCAACAATTTAAGAAAAAAAAATAATTTTGTCACCCCTGTGCCATATATGCGATCAAAATTTGTATCAAAATTCTGTTTCTTAAATATTTCCTACCTAATGATAGCTAGTATGCATTTCCTCTTCCCTTCACTGAAAAATCAACAGGTTACTTCTCGTATTCCCTGGTATTTGCATGTGTTGTCAATATTTGTTTGTTTTAGGCTATCATCTAAAATAATTGGACAATTTGTCCTTGTGTCTTCCTATTGCTTTCAATGTCACTTGTATTTATTTTAGATCTGTTTCCTAGAGGGCAGGGAGTGATGTTTGATTAATTCACTCAGCATGTACCACAAGTGTGTGTGGCTCACTGTGTGTGTGTGTGTGTGTGTGTGTGTGTGTGTGTGTGTGTGTGTGTTTTGGATAGGAGAAGCAAGTAATAGATATAGTCAAACTACTTATAGACAGACTCTAGGTCTTTATTTTTTCTCCTCCTAATCTCACAGAGAAGAAAGGAAAGAGCGAAAGTGGGAAGAGAATTTTCTCCTGTAGAAGCAGCAACAAATAAACCAAGAATGTGGGGGTAATCAAGTGATTTTATTTATCCCCCTCTCTTTTCTCCAGTCCTCAGCTGTGAGATAATTTGGAATAATACAGGAAGCCACAGAGTGTGGTGGGATAAAGTACTGTTGAGATGTGCAATCAGACTTCCGGTGTGCAAACATCGACTCTCCCAGTTATTAGCCCCGTGACTCTGGGAAGAATTCTCAATCTCACTTCAGTTACTTCCAACAAAAATTGGGACTATCAACAATGCCATTTTTGTTATAAGAATTATATCATTCAGTGTAAATAGGGTTCTATGTGAGACAAAGAAATGTGTAAAAAAGTAAGGCCATTATTACTTAGTATCGATAATGATAATTTTATTCATTCCGCATGTTATCAAGTCCAAAGCCGTCTCAGAACCAGAAAAGAAAGATTATTTCTTTTTCTTCTTTTATTATCCAGCTTCCTACAAGAAAATAAACACTTATTTACTTAGGATCCCGGGGGTAGATGAGGTAGAGCTCACCTGCCAGGCTGAAGGTTATCCGTTGGCAGAAGTATCCTGGTCAAACATCAGTGTTCCTGCCAACACCAGCCACATCAAGACCGCTGATGGCCTCTACCAGGTCACCAGCATTCTGCGCCTCAAGCTGCACCCTGGAGGGAACGTCAGCTGTGTGTTCTGGAATGCTAACATGGACGAACGTTTTTCAGCCGTCATTGAATATGGTGAGAGTGGTAAGAGTGGCTCCCCCCTTCCTAACTCCCTCGGTCAGGGTTTAGGCAGGAAATAGATGGCACACTCAGAATGAGTCATTTGAGGACAGAGGGATGAAAGACCTATGTATGAAGGTGTGGCAGGATTTAGAGAAGCTAGTAAGCATATTGCAGGACCCTGGGGCTTCCCCAGTCAGAGAAGCAGTTACCACTGTTGGAGGGATTACTGAATCCTGGGAAAGGGAGCTGCAGGGAAAGTGCCCCTTGACAGGAACAGTGGCCTCCAACAGAGGGACTCTGCCACCTGTAACAACTCTGTGTGATGGAAGCTGGGTAAATGAACTCCCCAGCCTCCGCCTCCTCCCACCCCCCAATCTCCTGCTGGTGCCTCCCATTGGCTGAAGCCACTAGAAGTCAGAAAACAAGGGAGTCCACTGATGTGTTCCATAAAGGTCAACCTCTCAGAGCTCAGAGCACAGTGTGGCAGTGTAGAGAATGGATCTGAAGAGGAAACAGAAAATATCCACAAAAGCGAGTCGCTATGACTCAGGTGCAATGCAAGGAATCAGCAGGATGAATATTACTTTGCTGGCTTTGCTGATAATCAAGTGGTTATGGGGATTCCAAGGAAAACTGGTCTTTTGTAAAATCAGAGCTTTTGCTGAGTATGCTGAGTCCCACCCTTTAGATCTTCAGACACCAGGACAATTTCACACGATTTTGGGAGTCTGACTATTTTTTATTTGCCGAATAAGACCATTTATTTGCTAAGTAAGAGCAACTTATATCTAGTACCAAAATTCTTTCATAAGAGGTCATTTTATCACCAAGCACGTCATAATTTTCCTAGTGCTCCTATAACAAATTACTGCAAACTTCATGGGCTTAAGACAACATTAATTAACTTATGCTTCTGAACATCAGAAATCCAAAAGGGGCTGTGCTGGGTTCAAACCAAGGTGTTGATAGGGTGACAGAGGCTCTAAGGGAGAGTTCCTTTTTTCATCTTTCCCAGTTTCTAGAGACCTGCCTTTCTTAGTTCATGGTTCCTCCCTCCCCCTGCAGAGCCAAAAGCTACATCCCTCAGACCTCTGTTTCTGTGTCCTCACATCTTTCTTTAATTCTCCTGTCTCACTCTTCCACCTTATAAAGACCCTTCTAATTACATTGGATGCCTTCCCACAACCCAATAATTCAGGTTAACTTTCCCATTTCAAGGTCCTGAATATAATCACATCTGCAAAATCCCTTTTCCCATGTGGGATAACATGTTCACAGGTTTCAGGGATTCAAACATGGACCTCTTTGAGGGGACTCAGTATTCTCCTACCATACCAGCAAAGGACATAATCTCCAAATAAAGGACAGTCCCTAGCACTACTTAAATATGACTTTATAGAAAATTTACTGTGTTGTCATTGTATTTCACCTTTTGCCCTTCATGTTAGACAAAACAGAGCGTGTGATAGGAGCTTGTGTAGCATCTAAGTATTTAAGTGGCGGCCTCAGGGAGCAAAAAGGAGAGGTTGGGGAGATTCGGACAGAGCAGAAGGAAAAGTAAACATAAGGATACATTATCAAAGTTGTTGCTGTTGGGAAAACGGAGCCCAGATACCCAAGGACCACCTGAGAAGTGTACAGATGGCCTCCTCAGATGCTCATTCAGAGCACGTCAGGTGGAGGTCATCTGCTTTCACCCCTACAGATTGACAGTAGTGTCCAGGATTGCACAGTCCATTCCCCCATGAGCTATGCATGCATGTGTGCTGAGTGAGCCCCCCACCCCAGCATCTGCACTGTCAGAGTCATCCCAGGACAGAAAGCAAAGTAGCCATTTGAGGTGATTGAAATCCGTTTAGACTTCTGCTGAGCCATGGCTGAAGTTAGAGGTGAAGTGAGAGGCGGTGGGGTAGGACTACAGCAGTCTGTCCCTTGCATGCTCAAGTTCCCCTACAACCCTACATTAAGTCCACTGTGACTAAGCCTTCAGGCTAGGAGGCAGCCATGATCTCTTCAAAAGATTTCATATGCAAGAGTTCAGAGAACAGATTACAGTTCCTGCTGCTACAGTTGATCCCAAGCCATAACTGGTCATTGAGATCTCTCTCATCCACCGGACATTCTAGGTTTCTCTCACTCAGCACTTCAGATGGCACAGTCTGCTTCTCTGGAGGTGGGGAGAGGACTGGAGACTCTGAGTTCCAGGCCTGAGAGAACTGAGCCTTTAATTGCCTTGTCCTGAACAGTGCTCGCAATTACCTTTTCATTGTTATTATCGAGGATGCAGGTCACAAAAATCAGAGACTCACGTGGTGAGGAAGGGGAGCTGACTGGAGCCCAGGAGCCATGTCAGGAGGTGGTTGCGTGGATACCACTCTGGCAAGGATGGGTGAAAGATCTCTAGCTGCGCAAAGGTCTCCTTATCTCTTCGCCAGTTGCATGTATGAGTGATATCCTAGAAGATCCTGAGCTGATGTAGACCCACAAGCTGTTGAGTCTGTGGTCAGCTATGCTGGCTTCCATGGAAAGAAGGGCCACCCTACTTCATCTGTAACTTTTCACTAGTTCAAGGTTTCCAGAGGTATGGTCAGTGTGCCCTTTCACTTCTCCACCACAAAGAAAAAAATACTGATGCAATCAGTGGTGCAAAGGCTAGATTCTAGTTATTTCTAAATTCATCTTACCCAGGCCCCTATTTCCCTGACCCTTCTGGAAAACCGCATTCCATCCAAAGTACTGGCTTGCACTTAACTAGGCAAGAGATTCCACACAGCAAAGGACAGTTAAGCAATTCCAAGAAAAATAAATCCCCCTGTGATTGTTAGCATTTAAATGCCTCTAAAGTTCTAGTATGAATTAGTTACAGCTCAGTTTTCATAAGGTGACAAGTCTGGGGATCGTCACTGTGATAGAAAAAGATAGAAAATTTTGAAAGACCAACTTGCCTAGTTCACTATTTTTACTCAAAGTTGACCCTAAAAATGAGGCTTTTCTTATGACTTCATTTCTACCAAGATGCTTAGAGTTATATCCATGCTTCTACCCACTGACATTGTTCCTCGGTTCTAGTCCGCTCCACTTCCTCACCATGTGCTCTCTGAACTTGTTTGCACATCTCCCACTTTCGTGATTTCTTTGCTCAGGCAGTTTCTCCCACATAAAATATAATCACCTTCTTCACCAACTTGAAGCCCACCCTCTCTCCAGAGCAGCTTAGAGAACTCCGGCGCACAAGAGGTTTTTACCTTATCTCTCCTCCTAAGACTGATTACATGTACCATGACTTTGTTTGTGACTATATATGTCTTTTATCGTTCGTTGCTATTTTACTTTCCATGTATTTTAATTGTTCACATGGGTCTTCTTTATACCCAGATGAAAGCAAAAACAGAGCAGTCTCCCTATTCTAAGTGTTCAATAAATGATAGATTAGTGGGTTGGAAGATGAGCCTTAATAATCCCAGTCCCAGATTCACAGACCTGTACCCCTGGGGATAAAAATGTATTATATGTTTATAAGCAATAAAATTTTTAAAAAAAGGAAAAAAAATAATAATCCCAGTCCCATTATCCCAGCTTCCAGACTGTGTGGGCTGCCAGATCTCAGCAGTCAAATGATCCCCTAGTTTGTGGTCCAAATACCAGCAACAAATGACCAAAGTCATACATCCTCCCACGGTTCCTCACATCTAATTTTCAAAGGGATTTTTAAGTTGCCTTATGACTGTCCCCTTTCTACTCATTCTCATCAGTTGAGCTGCTCATTGCTGACTTCTGTGACCCACCACATACTTCTTCAGAAGTCAATGAATAAAGCAAATACAGCAATGAGAGTGTGGTGATGGGAGGTGCTCCAGTGACTCTAGGATGTGACTGAACATCTTAATTTTTAACCAGAAATGAAAGGTCAATGAAGCCATTTTCTTTTTGAAACAAGGGTTCTTCTGCTTGGCCAGCCTTGTTGCATTTTCATGAGGACATGTAATGAAATTGGAGACTGGAAATAACTCTAACAACATTCTTGTGGGGTAGGAAGTGAAGCCTTCCCAAAAGACCTGGCGGGGACTCTCTGGCGTCTTCAAGAGTCTTTAAATTCTCTTTCTGCTGCTGTTAGCTTTGAGAACATGAGCATATAACCGAGATATCCTAGAACTTGGTCTCACATTTGTAGAATAAGGGTGAATAATGATAGATACCTTAGAGCATGATTGTGGGGATTGAATGAAACATGCTTGCAAAGTCCTCAGCACTCAATGTGGAAACGGGGAAAAAGATAGTGTCTCTAAGAAGAGTGCGTGGGATTGTGGCAAGGATAAAACATAGTTCTCCATTGCATCATCATATCATTGTTAAGTAACATGTAATTATTGTAAAATAATCTATAAGAATATATATTAGGGTATAGACTAGGCTTCCATAACAGAGAGGCCTCAAAATATGACTCCAACAAGACAGGAACATATTTCTCTCTTATGTAATATTTAGAGATAGAAGGTGACTCAGAGCAGGGAAGTATCTATATTCTATTCCTTCTGGGTTCTTTCCATCTTATTGCTCCCCCATTCTGTAGAATATTGTCTCTTTGGAACTGTCAAAGCTGGATGATACCACATCCATGTTTCCAAAAGGGAGAAGAATGGTGGAAGACCTATCCATTATCTGAAGGCCAAGACTCAGAAGACCCATGACCTGAACTGAGTTTTCATGGTTGGCCATGCCTAACTGCAGGGGAGGCTCCAAAATGTAGTCTTGAGGAGCCATGTGTCCAGCTAATGCCCTAATAGGGAAGACAGTGAGAATGGATTTAAGGGATAAACATCAGTCTGCCACAAGATAACTAAGGACAGGAAAGATTGGGCCAGGCAGACTAGGTAGACAGATGATTAATTTATCACCCCAAATCCTTATCGACATCTTTCATGTAAATGGTATTTGGCTCTATAGGGGATTCAGAGGTGACTCAGGTGAAGTCTTTGCACTCCAAATCCTTACAGGTTGAGCACACCAATGTTCATTGTTGGCAAGTCTTCAGGGATGGATAGAGCTTATGTACGTGGAAGGGGCTTTGAAGGAACCTGCATGGACACAGGTTTGCAGGGTGATGCTGAGGCAGGGATTTCTCCTGCTGTGAGGACTCTGAAGGTCCCAGAGCTCCTTGACTCACGTAGCCACTGCAGTGGTTCTTAGTAAGCATTTCCTAAAAAGTAAAGAAGCAGCTGTAGTCAGTGTGGGTTATCCAACGTGTAGATGAGCAGGGCTTCTGAATCCTTTCTTCCTTACTGTTCCCCACACTGTTTTCAGTAGAGACAAATACCTGTGGGGCCTGAGCTTTGGATCAAACAGATCCAGGCTCACAACCCTGACTTTGCCACTTAGTTAGCAGTGATAACCTCAGATAGATTATTGAGTATCTCTGAGCCTTACTTACTGAGCTCTAAAATGAGAGGCTCAGATTAAATGATGTCTAATCCCTTCTCAGCTAAAACAATCAATGATTCTCAGAAGGTATTGAGATGGGAGAGAGGGAAGGCAGTTGGCAGGACTGAGCCCTTCCTCCCCAGCAGTTTTGCCAGGTTTTTCCTGGATTAGGCTTTTGTGTTTATTCTATATAACTTACTCCACAGGGCAAAATTCAGGCTTTTGGAAAAAGCACAGCTTACTTTGGGTACTCTTCTACCTCCTATTATGAGGCTCCCTCCAGTCCTTCCCATTGTCAGTCTGGAGCCCTTATTCTAATCTATAGATACCCAGAGCTCTCCTCTACAAGACCTTCCCTGGTCTCCAAAATTGCTCGTCTCATCCACCTCTCTACTAAACTCACATTTTCCTCAGTGCCAGAACATTGATTAGCTGAGCCAAGGAAACACCTCATTGTAGTAATTCATACTGAGGTATGAATGACTGGATTTTGTACATTAACACTATCTACAATATTAGATTTTCCCGAAAGATCCTGTTAATTCTTGAAATTGAATGATTTCATGGCTTCTGAGCACTGCGAGTGCTTGACAGTGGAGAGAGAAGACATGTTTGGGTTCAGGGACTATCCTACTGGAAACAAAATTGATAATGATAGGTAGATAGATAGATGGCTGGAGGTATCAGAATGATGAAAAACACAGAATCTGGAACCAGACAGCCTAGATTATATCTTAGCTCTGTCTCTTACTGTGTAACTTTGGGAAAGTTTCCTAGACTCTCTGCACCTCACTGTCTTTATCAGGAAAATGAGGGTCATTGCAAATCCTGCCACTTAGTGTGTTGTGAGAAGGAAATGAACTAGTACACGCAGCACACACAGATTAGTACCTGGCATGGAATAAATGCTCGCTGCACATTGGCTGTGTTGGTTATAATCTACTCAGAGGGCCAACTTGTTGGTTTACCTCTAAGCTACCATGTAATGGGATTCTGGTGCTTTTCTTTCATCCAGGTGGCAAAGAACCTGACACCTCTTCAAACTGGCTGCTTCATGTTTTCATCCCTTCCTTCATTATTGTTCTGATCTTCGTAGCTACAATGATAGGCCTAAGAAAACAGCTCTTCCAAAATCTTCCTTTTAGAAAAGGTAAGTACCTGAGTTTTATTCAAGGTAACTGAATGGACTGGTGTCTGCAATGTGGGGCTCTGCTTCTCTCCAGTGGCCTACAGCTTCCCAGTTTCCCACGAATCTCCTCAAAGCTTCGTGCATCACTTTGGGCTCAGAGGGCCCATCCTGATGATTTTTCCCCAGAAGAAAATGGCTCTAGTCCTCAGTGAGCTGAAATCCCCATGCTGTTTTAAAAGGAATGTTTTGTTCCTGTGCTAAAATAGTTTGCTTTGTTCTTTGAGCTAAGAAGTGTCATTAGCCTCATGAGATCAGTGTTATTTTGGCAATGCGGATGGCTGTGTGTCAGAGTTCGTGGGTGGGAGGGTACCACGATCGCTTCAGAGGATTCCTTCAGTTCTCATCACTCGTTTCCCCCAACTGGGTGTAAGGCTGAGCTAAGCCTTCCCCCAAACCCCCAGGAATCTGAATGCCCTGGTTCGTAAGGAAAGGAGAAACATGTGTGAGGCCATTTGGGGACAGGAAAAGCGCCTGTTTTGATGGTGCCCTGAAGTCTTTCAGCAGCTTCAGGAGTCCCTCCTTAGCCTGTCCTATTGTCACCCATCCACTCCTGTTGTGCAACATTTGAACCATGGCCACAACATCTGCAGACTGTCTGGTACTTTCCTAAACTATTCCTTTGTCAGCACCCAATGAGCTCCTCCCAAAGTCTACACATGGCCTTGTCTATAGAAAAGAAATGACGTGTGGAGATAATTCCATAGGAATTTGGTGTGGCCACTCTTTGAGAATCGGGGGACCTTTAGGTTGTTGTCATGCTACATCTATAATCTAACTTCTGTGTTCTCTTCTGCCATAAGATATTCTCTGCTCCTGCTCTGATACTCTCTCTCGTGCTCTGTTTGTCCATTGCCCTATGTATGCATCAACTTGTGTGCTAACCACAAAACCCTCTACTATAAAATCTGACGTATTATTGTCAACAGAAAGGGGGATGAGGGTTGAGGAGGAAGGAAGAAGTGAAGAAGGAAGGGAGGAAGAGGACGAAGGGGAAAAGAAAAAGAAAGAGAGAAATTATAGAAATGGAGAGGAAGGGCATCTCACCATAGAGGAGGATTTACAGCATCTGATAGAACTTTAACTAAACAAGATCACTTCTGCAAGTCTGTGACCCCAGAGAAGCATGGTAGATGCCCCTCATTAGAATCTTGTCTTCTGCCATCTTCTTTCTCCTCTCCCATGCACACCCCTCAGAAACAGATTTATACCTAGTTCCAGGCCTGGGGCCTGACAACCCTTCAGTCACCTCAGGAATGAGCAAGAGTTTTCTGTCTTGACTCTCTTTGGAAGAACGAAATGGGTCATACTCAAGATAGAGAAGAAAAACTTCTTCCCCTCATCCTTCATCCCAGTCTCAAGAAGGGGCAAGGATATCTGTAGCTCCAAGCTGGGTATAAGACTCGGGTGCCAACTGTGGTGGGAGACCCTTGTTGCTAACGAGAGTTAAGCGAATAAATCTGCAAATTGTTCCTTTTTTGTTTTTAATGAGCCAGAGTAAAATCATGGCTGCCTATATAATACCCACTCTTCACCCCCACCCCACAACTCGCATGCACTGAGTTCTGCTTTCTCTCATGGGAGACACATGCGCACATGCGGAAATGCATCTGCCATGCACACAGAGTCATGTGTCATGGAAAAAGGTTGAGAATGGCTGGCACTGTTAGTCAAGCTTCAAGCCAGGGTCAGAAGGCTAGGTCTGCACCCAGTGCTGCCATGTATTTGCTCCGTGGTCTTGTACAAGTCACCTAACTTCTTTGAGATGGCTTTTCTACCTGTAAAATGGGTGGTGACATGAGAATGAGCTCTTCGTGGCTTATCGACCCAACCTCGCTGTCCCTATTGGAGTTCACCTGAACTAGAACAGGACCTTCCGAGCTGTCTCCCTCCATCCACTCCTGCCACTTCCGATATAGTCTATTTTCACTTTTAGCTGGAACAGGCTTTTAAGTGCCACTAGTCTACCATGTCTCCATGATTGGACCTCCTCCATGGCTTCCTTCAATTCTGAGTTTTCTCAGGCAACATTCTCTCGTCGTCGTCTTCTTCTTCTTTTTTTTTAATTCATTGTTATCTTTCATTTTTAGTAATTTTGTTCAACATCAATTTTTATATTAACAACATACAATGTATTATTGGTTTCAGAGGTACAGGTCTGAAATTCATTAGTTTTATATAACACCCAGTGCTCATAACATCATGTACCTTCCTTAATGTCCATCCCCCAATTAACCCACTCCCCTTCCCTCTGGCAACCCTCAGCATTTGTTCTTCTTAAAGTACTTCTTTCTCCTTGTTCACCGAAGTTTGTTATCCTTCAAATCTCAGTGAAGCTGCCACTTCATCAAGCCTCCCCTGATTCTGCCCCCTTGTCACACCCATTACAGCAAATCCCCTTGTGAGATGCTTCCGTAGTACCTACTTCTTCTTTCAATACACTCAGCACACCCTTATATATCTAGGGCCCCTTTTAATACCCTGGGCTCCAAATGCAATTGCCTCCCCTGGTTTTGAGCTGCTGCTATTCCTATTCCCACTCCTGCCGTGTGCGTCTCTGTTCCCTCTGGGGAAAGAGGTTCTCCATCCCCCAGTCTTGCTGGTCCAGATCCCAACGCAGACCAGAATGATCCAACATGACAACTTTGTGGCTCCCCTCACTTGTTCTGCCATTGCTCCCACAGCAAGACCCTCAAGAGCTGATAAGGCCGAAGGGGCTTCCTTCTTTAACTACCACTGCGCCCAGCCAGCCTCCTCGCCTCAAGGCCTTCACGTTAAGCCTGAGATGTCAGTCTTAACTTCCTTCTCTCTCTTTTTTTTTTTTTTTTAAGATTTTGTTTATTTATTTGACAGAGAGAGAGATCACAAGTAGGCAGAGAGGCAGGCAGAGAGAGCGGAGGAAGCAGGCTCCCTGCCCAGCAGAGAGCCCGATGCGGGGCTCAATCCCAGGACACAGAGATCATGACCTGAGCCAAAGGCAGAGGCTTAACCCAGGCATCCCTTAACTTCCTTCTCTTGAGCTCCTCTTAGGGCCGGTGCTGTCCTGAACTTCTGAATCTATCTGAGAGAGTCAAGTAAAGGGGTGGCAATCTCAGCCCTGTTTGTCGAGAAGGCCCCTTGGCTCCATTTACGCACCTATGTCTCAGTGCCCAGCTCTGCACACCATGATGTGTGGGGAGGGCAGCCGGGGTCAGTCCATAAAAGGTTCTGCTTACCATCTCTACATAAGTGGAGCCCTCAGAGGTTCAGGACTCCAGGTGACTCACTAGGTTCTGGAGAAGAATCTGGCAACTTCTGTTGTAAAAATAATATCAAGTTCTTATTCATAAGCATAAGGGCTGTGTTTCTCTTATTCACTAATACATGTCCACTGTCTAAGACATTACCTGACATATGTAGATATTCAATAATATTTGACACATTGAGCCTACTATATGCAGGTAGCCATGCTAACCTGCTCTGTATGGTACAATAGCCATATATGGTCATTTAAGTTTAAATTAAATAAATTTTAAATAAAAATTTAATTCCTTGGTCACATCTTAAGTGCCTACACCTTGTTAATGTTTAATAGTGACAATGGGGCTAGAGGCCACTGCACTGGACAGAGAAAATATACAAAATTTTCATCTTTGCAGAAAGTTCTGTTGAACAGCACTGAGCTAGACCCTTTACAAATTCCTGTTCAGTTAATTTTACAAAAACTGAGGCAAGAAGTAGAGTGTATATTGCAGATGAAGAAACGGAAGTTCAGAAAATATTCCCAACGTCATATAGCTGGGGTGTGAACACAGGTCTGTCAGACACTAAAATCTGTGGCCTTTTTGTTACCAAAGTGCTTAAGAAAAATTGGCTCAATCTGAATAGTATTATTTTGAGCAATGGAAGGAGAGAGTTTCAACCCAAAAGAATCAAGGGGCTTGATTGTTGGTTGAGCCAATGGGAAAGCCAAGAACAGAATCCACAAAGTTTTGCCTAGACATCTAGAGACCAGATACCTAGGACAGGCCTGTGGATCTTACGCACAGTATTTCTCAACCTCTCTAGGGTAAGGAACCATTTATTCTTATATTTCTAATATGCTAGGGTCAATGCTTTTGTAATATATATACTAAAAATGGGATTACCAAAAAGTAAAATAAAAAGACATACTAGCCCTGCTTTTACTGGATTCAATAAATATATGACATTTCAATGAGTATCAGGGAAAAAAACACAGTAAAAGAATTACTATAAAAGTTTCTAAAGGTTTACACTAGATCTCTGTAACTGTCTCATTGTGGGTTGGTAAGCAGTAGGTCACCTACCACCACTAACCCATGAGCTCTACACTTTGAATGGCACTGCCCTAAAAGACTGAGCCAGAACTTTACAGGGATTTAAACCAAAGACCAAATATGTTGGCCAAAGGTTGCATAAGAACCACAGAATGGCAGCACTAACCCCAAGCCTTAGAGAGCACTGCCCTGAAACTCCACCATGTAAGGGCAATTTCTGTGGGTTAACTCCTAGACTCTTTTCAAATGTGAATCCTCTTAGAGGAGATGGCAATGCTGGATGGAGGACCTCAAAGTCCAGGTCCAGTATTGTCATGAAGGAGTTCCTAAAAAGTGGAGGTCCTCAAAGTCCAGGTCCAGTATTGTCATGAAGGAGTTCCTAAAAAGCTGGTGTGCAGAGCAAAAGCTGAATTAGGGATTCCCTGAGTTCAGGAATCCAGGCAACTGCAGGACATGGGCATCAAGCTCAAAGAAAATCAGAGTGAGGGGGGATGTGTGATGTCAGTGGTTGAAGAGAAGAAACCAGGGGAACAATGGTGAGTGGCATCCCATTATGTGAACTTGTGCTTCTGCCCCCCGAGTTGCTTTGGAATATTATCTGTCATGTACACCGTAGTGTGAATTAATTGGTCCGACCTCTTGAAGTGAAGAGCAAAGCAGAAAATGGAGAGGAACTCCTGCAGCTGGAAGTTTCCTGGGCTGATTATCCAAATCATCAGTCCCTCAGCCTTGGAGTGCCTGGGACCAGTGACTGAGGAAGGAACGGAAAGTAGAGGATTGCCTTGTTTGCAGTTTTCACCTAAGGGCACAATTCTCCCTTGTCTGTCCTTCAGCCCGAGGTCTCGAGCCACAGTTCACACTTGGACTTCTGCATGTGATTTATTTGGATTAAACTTTGTTCTGCTGTGTTTTCATCTAGAAGCAGAATACTTTTCTCGTTACTCTTATTCCATCACTGGAATTTCTCTTTTTCAGACACAACAAAAAAATCTGTTGCCGCCATAAGGAGGGAAGTGGACAGAGCTGTGAGTAGTCATGGTTTTTCTTACCTTTTTGTCTCCCAACTTGAATTAAGCAATAGCCCCTGTGCTGTGTATGCACAAAGAGCAACGGGATGCTTTCAGCCTGTACAGAACCTTCCTGTTGGATGGCACTTCCACTAGCTGTTGTTACGAACATGTCATTCCACACCCTTCTTGGGAAGAAAAGGGTGTTTGGGTACAGCCATAGAAAGTCGTAGAGCCTTCAGTCTGTCTCTATTCCTAAGGGCGGCTGCACAGGACATCTGGGCTTAGATACTTAATAACACGGTTAACACTTAACAGCAAGGGAAGATATTCAACAGCAAAGCAATCAACAGCTCATGGTTTTACAACGATTACTAAGTACACTGCTGGCTGCTTGGGGTCAAGAATTTGTTGGGGGAGGAGTAGAAGGCTCTCCGTGAGGCTGACCGGCTTGGAGCTGGAATTTGTAGATGTGACGTGGAGGTCAGGAGAATTGGGGTTGCTAAAATCACTCAGGCTGGGGAAATGCTGTTTTGGGGACCCACAGGCCTGGGTCATATTGCACAGTGGGTATTTCTAACTTTCTTGGGAAAGCCACCCTCCTTTTGTAATCTAGCAATCACATGATGGGACACATGAATTCATGAGTTCACCAGAATTATAGGCAATTCACAGAAATTTCTAAATAACCTTGTTGTCAGCTACTCAAAATATTCAGAGCTGGTCATTTGAGAATTCGGCTGAATGTATCTATAAAATTCCAGAGACACCAACCGTAAAACAACTCTAGAAAACTTTTAATACCGGGATCTGTGTCTGGCTAATACAGGACACATGGCAACTCATGAGCACAGAGTATGACTGGAAGGGATGAAGTTTGGCCCTCTCCCCACCCCCCACACCTGCTGCCACCTCCCTGAAAGCCACTCGTGAAATACACCCGTTACCATAATACCTGTCCCAAGGAGCAAATGCTGCTCAGACCTGGACTCTACTTGAGGTCCAGTTGTGCTGCGTTTCTCTGAATCAGCAGCGAGATTTTCTTGACTCAAAAAAGCTTCAGATTAATGCTGGCCATCCTAATTGAAACACCTGTTTCTTGAGAAAGAACGCTCCTGTGTTCCTATAGATCGGTCCTCTTGATCTGCAGGAGCGTTCCCTGGGAGCGGCCTCAGCATCTGTCTTGAGTTTCATGAGCTCCAGGCTTTGTGTAAGTGTTTCCTTCAGTTGCTGAGTGTGAGGAGGATAGAGTGAAAAGTCCCAAGAGCAGAGGTGGTAAAGTCAGATGCCCACAGGGCCAGGCAGGTGCTGAAGTGAGGAAAAAGGACATTCTTTAACCAGATCGGGAATGGTGACAAAATGGAGGGCTAGTGCTGTCAATTTAGCACTAGCCTAAGGCTGTCCGAGAAGATGGAAATCCAAAACTTTATATAAAATGTCCTGAAAGTATTTCAAATCCCAAACAAAGCAAATAAAACATCTCCGTAGGCTAATTGAGCCTATTAATGACCAGTTGCAGCCTCTGTCCTAGAGAGAAAGTATTGTATCTGGGTAACGAAGGCAGAACCGTCTGTCTGAGGAATGAGGGATGCTCAAAGGCTTACAACCATTTCAAATGTCCCATCCTATGGCCCCCACATGGTGTGAATATTGTACTGTTTATAGAGTGATTTCTTTGGATTAACAGGGTACCACAACCATTTTAACAATACATCTCCTTATAAACAGAAAAATCTCATACCCTTTTTTAGTGGTATCTGAAATTCAAAATGAAGTAAATATCTTGGCCAAGAGTCAAATTAAAGAAATTAGACTAATTCCCTTCTCCCCCAACTGATTACATATAGTCACCCTTTGTACTAGGGGAAGGGAGAGTCAAGGGAAGGGAGAGTCAAGGAGGGGAAGGGAGAGTCAAGGAGGTGAGAGAATGATGCTCGTCCTCTCTCTTCTTCACCCCTCCCTGGCACTTGCCTGAGAATGCGGGGTATGCTGTAAGGAGGTCACGACCACTTAGGTATGCACCACAGAGGACTCACATGGGAATATTCCTGTACTATTATTTATAAGAGTAACAAATTAGAAATAATCAGATGTGAATTAACAGGAGAACAGATGAATAGAGTGTATAGATAACAACTAAAATGGAAGTACCAGCACTGGATGTATTTTGGGGATGGAAAACTCTGAAGTATGATTTTGAGAGGAAAAATAGATTTCAGAAAGATATAGACAGTATACTGGCAATTACAGAGTTTAAAAGCTGACAAAGAACTTTACATAGTGTTTATGGACATAGTCATGTGAAGTGAAAGTAAAAAAACAGCAAGGAAATTATAAACACCAATTTTAACCTCTTCAGCTGGGTGGTAGGCATACAGATGCAAACAGCATTCTGGGAGTGGGTATGCAAATCTTGGTATTAATCTGGGGGGGCATGCAAATGTTGATATTATTCTGGGGGTGGGCATGTAAATGTTGATATTTTCTGGGGGTAGGCATGCAAATCTTGATATCATTCGGGGGGTGTGTACACAAATCTTGATATCATTCTGGGAGTGGGCATGCAAATGTTGATATTCTGGGGTGGGCCTGCAGATGTTGATATCGTTCTGGGGGTGGGCATGCAGATGTTGATATTCTGAGGGTGGGCACACAAATGTTGATATCATTCCGGGTGTGGGTATGCAGATGTTGATGATATTATTCTTATACTTTGTTCTGTGCCTGAAATATTTGTTTTTTGTAAAAAAGAGATCATGATTAAAAATCAAGAGAATTAGATTCAAGTTTTTCTGTGAGCTAGCCATACAATTTTAGGTAAGATCAACCCCCTTTCTGGGCTTTAGTTTTGTAAAACTGAAAACCTAGAAGGTTGGACCAAAATCAGAGGAGGGCAAACAGACCCCTGTCAGGTTCAGGAGGTGCCTAGGGCAGAGATGAGGATGGTTTGGGAGACCATTTCTAGGTGCAGAGTGTGGTGATTGATGAATGATGTCTGCTTTGGGTGAGGGGTGGGGGGAAGTCATAGATCTTGGCCATATAATTTGCTAAACTTGGAATAGATGCTCTTATGCAAAAAACGGTTTTGTGTTTGTCAGATAAAACACAAAGATACATGACATTTATCTGTCATGTACCTACATATTTTAACACTTGGGTAATGCTGACACATTATGTTGTGTTTGATGTGTTCCATTTGCATTCAAAGTTATTTGTGGGTTGGTTCAAATGTAGAAATTGACAGTGATCAATGGTGGTGGAATATTAAAGGAAAAAATGGCTCATTTTTACTTAGCATAAAGTTTTATGATTTTGTCAAGACAAATACCAATGTGTTAGATTTCAGCAGATTTTTTTTAAGTTCCTCCCTATAAAGTTGCTTACCAGTTGTTAACTCTTTATGGAGAACTAATTTAGCATTTTGGAGACTATCCCCCCAAGAAAAAGAGGAAACAGGACATGGAAATACTGATTTGGGGAATGGAAAGAAGATGGGTCTGGGGCCCCTGTATGGGTTGCCAAGAAAACTTGATACCTGTTGCTGAGGAGGGCTCAGGCTTCTCCCAGGGAACAGAACCACAGAACCACTTGGAGACTGGCAAGTGTGAATGAAATCTGTAGGGCAGGCTTGCGGTCTGCAAGTTCACTAAGACTTGAAATATGGAATCCAAAATGTGTTGAGAAGACCCTCACGCTGGGAACTCAGGTGGGATATCTATACTACAGTCTGAGGCAGAATTCCTTCTCTGGGGAACCTTGGTTGCTCTTAAACTAATTCACTGAGACCGACCCACATTCTAGAAGGTAATCTGCTTTATGTAAGGTCACCTGATGGCAATAGTTGAGCTAAACTGACACAAAAAGTTAATCATCACAGCCACCAAGATGTGAAGGGGGCAGTCTTGGCTGGAGTAAGTGGATTTGTCAGACTTCCCTGAGCCTTAAAAAAATAGAAGTAAGTGACTCTCTGTTACCTGGTCACAGATTTGTCCGAGGGGCCAGGGCTCTGTCTAAAACCCCTTGAGCCATGAACCTGCCACCCCAGACTCACTATTTAAGGATTTCTGCTTAGCTCACTGCCTCTCTCAGCAACAAAAGGATGTGTGTGGCCTCGGCACCCTGCACCTGATGTGTTTTGGAATCATGAATAGCTGAGTAAATATGGAGGGGGCAGAACAACACTATCACCAAAATTCTCTGACAGAACTTAACTGAAGGGTTTGGAAATGATTTGTCTGCCTGACTCTTCCTTTGTCTGTGTTTCTTGTAGTTTCTTCTGCAGTAAATGTAAAAGGTAACTGATTTTGACCAAATTTATCTCACTACTGAAAGATAAATCTTGCTTAATTTTAATTGTTGGGCAGGTCAAAACTTTGAGAACATTTTTCAAATTACATCATTTTTTCAGAACAAAAATGAAAAATAAAAAGGCATAAAGGAAACAAAAATAATTTATAATCCATTGCACACAGATTACCATGGTTAATACTTAATATTACTTTAATTTCTAACATATTTCTGTATTTAAATTTCATAAAATTAAATTATAATGCATATATAACTTGGTATAGTTTTTTTAACTTAATTTTATGTCATTAGTATTACCTATGTGCTAAAAGTATAATTAATAGTTTTCATATTTTATTGTATACATGGACTGGGATTTATCTTAACTAATTCCCTCTTGCTGGACATATCATGTCTACCTCATAGTCTTTTATGTTTTTGTCATTTAAGTATTATCACAATAGCCTTATACATAAATCTCTGCGTGCATCTCTGATTATTACCATGGGTAAACTCTAAGATGCAAAATTACTAGGGTAAACCTGTAGGTATTTCTAAGACTCTCAAACGGTATTGCTGAATTGCCCTCTAAAAAGTTGTACCAATTTGTACTAGCAATATATGAAAGAGCTAGTTTAATCATTATACCTGTCCCGATGCTGGATGTTACTGTTTTTAAATTTTGCTAATTTAGAAATTAAGAACCGTTCATCTTTCTTTCTTGCTTACTCTCTCTCTCTTTCTCTCTCTCTCTCTTTCTTTCTTTAGAGCGAGTGTGAGCAGAGGGTTGGGGGGAAGGCTGGGTGGAGAGAGAGAGAGAGAATCTAGAGCAGGCTCCACGACCAGCACAGAGCCCAATCTCACAACCCTGTGATCAGGACCTGAGCCAAAATAAAGAGATGGACGCTCAACCGACTGAGCCACCCGGGCAACCCCATCATTATTTTGCATTTAAAGTTATTAGTGAGATAAAACATCTTCATAAATGTATAGGTTTTATCTTCTTTTGGGAACTGTCTATGCATCTTTTGTCCATCTTTTTACTTATGTCTTCACTTAGAGTTAATAGTAACCCATTTCCTGTGATATATTTTATAAATTTCCCCCTGATTTGTCACTTACTGTTAAGTTGGTTTTTTTCTTATCCTGAGAAAACAGGCATTGGGTATAGTAAAATTAGGTTCAGAGGACCACATTATAAACATTGATGTCCTATATGTGATATATTTATTAAAAGAAAGTAAGTATAGGGGCACCTGGGTGGCTCAGTCGGTTAAGCATCTATCTTTGGCTCAATCGTGACCTCAGTGTCCTGGGATCAAGTCCTGCACTGGGCTCTCTGCGGAGGGAGCCTGCTTCTCCCTCTTCCCCTTCCCCTGCTTGTGTTCTCTCTGCTCACTCGCTCTCTCTCTCTCAAATAAATAAAATCTTGGAAAAGTATATTAATTATAACATTTATGCTATGTAACAGCTTACAGCAAGTAGGATCTGCTGTCCCCAGAGGACTGAGTCACACATTTCTAGAAAGCAGGTGCAGTGTCTTCTTCTTCCTTTCAAAGCCTATCACATCCTGGGATGTGTTGTACTTTCAGTAGCTGCCTTTGAAATGATGGTTGGCCAAAGTGAACATTTTGCTCTCCACTGATACGTGTCAGCTCAGAAGGAGTGGTGAGCTACAGCCAGGGGGCCAAAACACTTCCTGTTTTTGTAAGCAAAATTTTATTGAAGCACAGCCATGTTTAATGTTGTCCTCTAGCTTTCCCCCCACCCCTTCCTCTGCATCCAACAGCAGAGTCGAGTGACTGTGCCAGAAACCATACAGCCCGTAGTTGAAATATTTCACAATCCAGCCCTACAGAAAGCATGTGCTGACCCCTGACCCACAAGTTCTCCACGGCTCTGTGCCTTCTCTCACACTGAATGTACTCGGTCTTGCTCTCAATGCTCTAACGCTACCCCCAGCTCCAATCTCAGCTCCGTAAAGTCTGAGGACAGAGACCCACAGGGATCCAGCCAGCTCAGGGCCCTCAGGGCTCTCACCCTCCCACACACATCTCTGCCGTCCCAGCTCTGCCTCACCCCCAAGCCACCTATGTGGGGACAGTGTCAGGTGTGGGGACAGTGTCAGGTGTGCGGGCGGCATCCTGACCCCCCTGTTTTTAGTCACATTCAGCTACTGCATGTAGTCTTGGGACACACATGTCTGACGAGACATCTGCTCAGATAAATAGTCTCCCTTCCCACTTAAGAAGGGAAGAGCTTGGTGGTTTTGCTTTGTTGATCAGAGACTGACATGAGACCTGATTCATGTGGGAGTGCCCAGCAGTACTAGCTCAGGCGACAGCTGTGTAGAGCCGGGTTTTCCATTTCATGGTTCTGCCTTGAACTCTCTAGGCAGCTCTGGGA